GGCCTAGGCGGCAAACAGTATTTGAGACGTTTGCTGCGTGTTTATAGCGCTGTGAAATGAACATTTTGCAGGTGATTTAACAGTTATTAGATTTCTTTAGCCAAGCAAAAGTGTGTGCAAGAGCCCGACAAGCAACGACCCATTTGGTAGGTTAAAGCTTGCCTTTTTGTAATTTTGTACAAAAGTTTTTATTTGATCACATCCATATTTGGCAGCCAGAAAGTATGCAAAACAAAATGTCAAAAGACATTTGCGCAAAAACAATGCAAGACACAATTGCCTGAGAAACTTTTTGGCCCAAAACTTTCCAACTACGAGCATGCACTGATTAAATAAAGATTTTTCTCTGGCACAAAACTTGGTCAACGGGAAGCGCAACGCAATCGTTTGAAAAGTAAATATGCAAATATGTTTATCAAAAAGTGTTGACACATGAGCACAAAGCGCCTAAAACTATGACTTGCATCCTTTTATTGCATTTATTTCTGAGTTAAGACCAAATAGAAGGGCATTTCGCACACAATTTCAGCCCCAAAATCGCCATGCTTATATTTAAAATGTATACTAAAAATATTAAAATAAAAATAGGTTTAACTTTCAATTAAACCACAATAAATACTAGTTTATAGTTGTACAAAAAATTTAATTAATTTGACTTAATAAAACACAGCTTAAGAATAAACAAAACTTAATCAGTTTAAAATTGTAAGTATTTCTTAAGCAAAATAAAAAAACATATTAAAAAAATATAATAAATGTTTATATTGTATTTTCTAAACAAATATTATATATAATATTTGGAATACTAGCGAAATTTATTTTATAGAATACAATAAAGTGCGCCTATTCAAATATCCTCGTAATGCCATGGACATTTTCAACACATTTACAAAAAAAAGTACACTTTATATTAAGTAATCTTAAAATTTCTAAAATAAACGAAAATAAAATGTTAAATCATGGGAAAAAAAAGGGCATAGCAAAATGCTGGCGATATCAATTTGCAGAACACACTCACTTGGGCATATTGAAATAGTGAACTTTTTGGCTTGTGCCTAATTATACAAACTCAAACTTAATTCAATTACAGCCCAGTTAGCCTCGGCTCTCGAGAGACAAAAGGTGTTGCCTACATTGCGGCGCATAAATATGCATTTCGCACTTGGCCACTTGTCGGCTTTAAATAAATTTGAGTAAAGCACATCCAAAAAGTCTACTCTGGACTCCGTTGCCAAGTTGGGTACATTTCTTAATTAGCTTTATGAGTTTTCAGGTAAGCCACCTGCCGGAATTCCCATGTGTGCGGTCATCCAGGTGTTTAAGGCTGAACTTTTTTTTTCTTTTATTTTGCCTGAGAAATTATTATGCAAAATGATATTAAAACTTTTTGAGTGATGCTTTTGCTCAACTTTGCCTGCTGAGCGGCACGCATGTGGGCGGGCATTGTGTGTGTTTGATGGGCGGTGGCGAATCTTGGCGAGGGGGGGGACGGCGGTTATATAGAGTCTATCAATGGCAAATGCAACAATGGCCAATTTGTAGGCAAGTTTCTTGAGGCGCATAAATTACGCTTGGCCTCTAATTGGAGCAAAGCCTGCATAGAAATGACGGCGACAAGACTTCAAATCAAAATTCATGGCATCGGAGTAGAGGTCCATGAAGGCAGGAAACAAAACCGGCAAGCCTAGTAGGGCCAAAGTCTCAGTCTCAGGCTGTTTGCCATAAAAGCGAAAGGCAACAAGGCGTAACATGCGATAAAATTGAGTTGAAAACGTGTTTCAAATCTAAAATTAACAAACTGAAGCGCAGCCAGTAAACCATTCAGTCAGTCAGCTAGTCGAGTCAGTCAGTCAGTCGAGTCTGTCTGTCATTCGCTGTGTCGCTAGCCCGCGACCCGGCCGAAGCCCAGCCTGCATGTAAATGACTTTTTAATGATGCCAGCCCAGGCCAGCCCCTGACAGGGCACTGACTATAGCTGCACACTATTCCAGATACCTTTTACATTCGCTAAACAACTCGATTTGCTGCCATGTGCGTCCATTTCAAGTATCATAGTTTGCCAGCCTAATTGCTGACATAATTTTACACTTTAATAGTTTTTTCGTGTCCAGAAACTAGCGACCTGTCCGCGACCTAGCCAATTTCCCAGCCCCAGACTCAGTTCCCGTCTGAGTTCGGGTCCCTGATATTGGTTTCATATGTAAATGAAGCTCTGATTAGCGCAAGTCATGAATTTCAATTTGTGCCTAATGATTTGTTGTTTTAAATTCTTTGCGTGCTGATGGAGCTTGTTTAACATGCACCCATACCTGACAATCTATTTTCGCGCTTTTCATTTTTTTTATCCAACTACGTAATTGACATTACAATTGCAGGCGGCTATCATTTCGAGTGGCTAATTGTGTTCACTTACATCTAATTACAGAATGGCCAATGGTAAAAACCTTTCATTAGAAACGACAACTTGTATTTAAGTATAATTATTAGTGTTCATTGTTATCCATTAGATAATTCCACAATCATCTAATAACATTTTTGGTCTACTTTTTCCAAATCATTTCTTTTTCGTTTAATTAAATAACTTTCGACTTTTAGTTAAATATTTGATTGTAAAAGAGATTCTATAGATTTCAAATTTATATATTATATATAAATATTTTTTTATATTTATAAGCAGAAAATTTCATAAACTATATGTTGATTGATTTAAAGGTAAATTTTTAAATAACATCGACGGAAGAAATATAACTTAATTAATGCTTAAGTCTTGGGTCTATTCTTCCAAAAAATATGTTCTAAATATTTGAAGATCTAAAAATATATATATGCCTATTCCAATAGTTAAATATTTTTGACTTGCTTAAAGCTAATTTTTGTTCGTTTCGCAAATAACTGTTATTATACTTTATTCGAACCACGGCTTTTTCTTGCCTTTCAAGTGTGGTTCAAACCTCCGCTTATGTTTCAAAACTGATTAAGAGACCTGACAAGGAGCGAAATATATAAAGAAATTGTATTTCTTTAAATATATACTCAGCCAATTGCACCCATGTGTGTTGCTTTATATAGAACGATTAATTACAATTTTAATGGAACTACTGGAAAACTGTCTAACATCATTCTATTTTCATTATCACTTTCAGCCGTTCCCAGCTGAGCCCAGATTTCTGTGATACCATCTTTATCAAGCACTCGAGCGCCTAATGGTATGCTGTAAAATTATGCACTAAAGCATTTCGTTCGCGCATTGCAAACAATAATTTCGATTTCTATCAATGAAATTCCATAATACGTCCAAAATCGAAAACCAATTCCCTCGCTCTCCCACCCCCGCCCGCCCGAACCCCACCCCATTAATACAACCTCCACTATATGAACGCTCGCTCACTAATGGAATTTCATGCTGGATATAGAGAAATTCGTGTGTTGTCGATAAAGACAAATCGTGTAGCAGACGCCGTCGTGCGGCTTGCTTGTAAATTATAAAATAATGTTGGTTGCAATGCCAACGCGTTCTGCTTTTTGTTTTTGCCATGGAGCTGGTAAAGGGGCGTGGCAATGGTGTTGGTAGCACAGGGCAATCGACTGCAGTTTTTATGCCCGCCCGGCTAAGTGGCACATTTTGGGCATAGCTTTCAGACGGCGGCACTGAAATGCCCGAGCCTGCGGTTACAGCGGCGACTCGCAAAGCAGAATCCTGTGTTTCGTATAGCCTGTCTACCCGTATCCATATAAAATACTACGCCCTCCCACCCCGCCGCCAACTCGGGCACTGCACTCGACTGTTGCCGCTGTCAAATAACTGACATTACCTCTAGCCGACGTCGCAGCGTCGCGTCGCTCACGTTTCGTGACTTTGAACAATAAAAAATTTCGATTAGAATGTAAAAGCGGCAACCGCACAACTGCAACGGCAATCAAATTCTGAGCGGGTGTGCCACATAATGCTGGGAGAGACGTACGTCTAATAGCAAGAAAAAAACAAGTAAGAAACTGAGCGCAAGCTCCCGACTAGGAGATACCCTGCACGACGCTGTCAACACCAACTTTCTATAGTATATGCATCTCAATTAAATTCGGTGCATAAAGTCCGATCTTTGTACAATTTTATTGGCGTTAATGTGCGTTAATGCGTTAATAAATGCGTTTGTTTAATTTATGGAGGGCATGTAGATAGGCATCTAACCAAAATGTTCAAGCTATGCTCAACAAACGGTGTCTAACAATCGATTTTTATCGATTTTCTGCAAATGGGAGAACATATCGAGAAAATAACTGTTTAATTCGTTCTGCGTGCTTAATAAGAAAATATTGGCAAGACTGACACATCGTTGTGCTGCTCAAGATAGAGTCGAAGTTGCCCTCTTCTGTGTGTTACATGGTTTTGCACACAAACAATCAACCCCTTCTACCCACTTGCAATGGGCTTAGGGTACAAAAATGGCTAAATTGTATATTAATAGAAAATGAAAACAAGAATGTTTTTTTTTTAACTGCAACCGCGACAAGCGCAACGATAGAAAAACTGTTGTCTTTGCGGTCAAAATGATTTTACTTGAATGCATCGACCAGCAATAAATTCTATGGTATAGACAGAATGCTTGAGGTATGGCTCAATGTCTGCCACATATGTAAATTTCGGCTTTGGCATTGACTGGATTTCAATTAGATAAATAATTTTTTAACTTTTTACTTAATTTAAAAGTAAATTTTGAATTATTTTTATTTAATTATTTAGCCATTTTTCAGCCGTAATTAATAATATGCATAATATAGTATTTTAAAAATTTGTAGTCTTAGCTGGTATTAACCGGCATTACCCGAAATAGGCTTTCTCTTTCCATTTGATGCATCGATTTCCATCCTACTTTTGACTTAATCAAAATAAAACACAATACCCTGTAATATCATTCAAAATCTGCCGTTGAAGCAAGCAAAGATGTTGCCTTGTATCGTATGTCAAAAGTGTTGAAACTCTTCAGATCGTTTTTCACTCTCATTCTGATTATTGTTGTGTACACATATACATACAGTTTTATTTGCTTTACAGTTTCTCTCCTTTTTTCGATTTTGAATAACGTATTCACCACGTTGGATCGAAGACTTTCAAGATAAGGTACAGCTGCAGAGCTTAAGAGTTTGCATCTGCATCAGCTTTTAATTGGAATCCTTTCAGATCTTAAGAAATGGCATTTGTGGGTCGCATGAACAGTCGTGGCAAGTTTGTTGACTGTGAAATGTATAGCGGTGGACGCTCTAAGGTGAATACAACACCGAATGGATCGTTGGATGAGGAGACCGAAATGGGCACTCGGCGTACAAAATGCTCGCGTACATACATCAAGTCGTATGACCATGAGCCGCGTCTCATGCTCTCTAGTCCCAGCACGGTGCGCTATGTGGGCCGCTCCGCATCGTCCTGCGAGCTCAACTCGATGGCCGACACGGAGATGTCCACACTGCGCTGCAGCTCACCGAGATCCTTGGAAACGGACACTGTAACACTGACACCCGAAAACAACTCCGAAAATAGCTCCTTGTCTGATGGTAGTGGAGCAGTCGCTGCAACGGCCGAGAGAATAATGCCGCCGCCAAGACAACAAATGTTACTTAAGCAATACGAGGTGGAGGAGCAGCAACTGGAAAGAGGTTCCACAACATCCATGTGCAGCTGGGAGGAGGAGGAGGCCGTCTCCATGTATACGTCGATGGATAGCCAACCAATCGACGAACCCGAAACTCGGAGCTGCTGTGCTGTGCCCCTACTCGAACTTGGCTCGGACACAGCCTCCCTCTACTATGACCAGCAAGTGCAATTGGATCAATTGAAGCTGATGCGTCGCTCGAACGAGGCCTACGATAATTGGCTTTCGGGCAAGAAGCGGCAATACCAATACAAGCAGCAGGCAGCGCGGGAACAGCGCGAGCTAAAACAACGAAAGGAGGCATTGCGTCAACAGCTAAACGAGCAGCGGGTACAGGAATGGTGTCAGCGAAAGGCACGCCAATGCAACGCAAACACCAACGCCCGAACCAGCACCAACACGAACACCAACAAGCACAGATCAAACACTGCTGCTAGGCCAGTTCGGCAGCAATTGATAGATGAGACAACGGCGCAACGACGCCTCCAGGGCTGGGAGTTGAAGAAGATGCAACAGGCGGAGCAGCGGCGTCAGCTGGAGCAGCGCGAGCAGCTGCGAAAGCAACGGGAACAGCAACAGCGCAAACAGCAGGCGGCTCTGGCGTGGCAGCAATGGGTTAAGGGCGTGGCGCAACGCCCAAAGCCCGTGCCACTTAATCAAGGCCTAAACACGCTGCGCGGCACAGTCTCAAATATCTACATTAATCCTAAACAGTGGGTGAACGTTAACGAAAAAACTAGGACCTAAATAAACAGTAAGCAATATTTAAAATAAATTAAACTCAAACTTTCATTTTATTAAAAATGCGGCTCTAATTAAAAATAATTTGGAAAAAGTCCTTATGGGCTTGAAATGGTGGGTTCAAGAAAGAGTCCAAACTTTCATATAGATGAAACTTATATAGAAAGATATTTTACTGCTTTCTGATCGAAAATTACCAAAAATTATGCAATATCAATTTAATCCCAGCCTATCAGACAGACGACCAAATTTTCCTAGAATCGAAAAAGGAAAACTGTAAAGATGCCCTTTACAATTTAAAAAAAAAATGAAAACACTTTTAAAAACATAAAAAGTGGGCTAATTGTGCCAAATCGCTTTTGTAACTTCCAGGCGATACACATTTATGTTCCTGTTGATAAAATATACATTGCTTCTTTAGCTAAGATACAATTAGTCATTGCCGAATTCTGCCTTCCGGAGATAGTAAAGCTATATTTAACCTTGCCCAACACACTTACATTATTCTCTATAATATATATATCTATATCAGAGTGCAGCTCTGGTCAGCTATTATATTATATATGGCACAACCTATTTAGCTTATTGAAATGTTTGCAATGCTTTAATAGGGTCAAGCTTAAGCTCATTAGCTCAACTTCACACACACATAATGGCTTTTCTTGGAAACGCACTCGCTTGCGGACAGGCCACACATTCAGGGTTCATTTGCAAGCCAACTCTTGTGGACTTAAGGGGGTGGGCGATTAGGCTTTGAGGCCTGGCTTCGACACACTTGTGTAATCTTCATATTCCACACTAACACTTGCTATCAAAACATTCGCTGGCATTTGTGTGCGTATCCTTTTCACAGGTTAACACCCCCGCAAAAGAAAATACCCTTCGGGCCGTTTGCATTGGTTGTCTGTTTGCCAGCCTTTAGGATTTTGTGCAGCCAACTTTGGCTTTTGATTCAGATAATTTCATAGCCAGATTTCTAATCAAAATAGTTAAAACGCGGAATTTCATGAATTAATATTCGACCTAAAATCAAACTATATGGAAGCGAGCCCTGAAGAGAAAGCGCTGGTTCAAACTGTAAACTTTTAAGGGTACGTTTTGCCAGTTTCGTCCACGTAATTCCTTAAAGTGAAACTAATTTCTATCGCCAGAAATTGAGCACTTCTAACTGATTTAATGACCAGGCTTGATGTAAGTTTTTGATTAGTTCTCGGCTGCTCATTTTTCTCGAACCTTAACTCCAGCTGTGCTGCTGAAACGCTGTGAACTTGTTCACCTGTCGACTCAAAAGAAACGACAGGCAAAAAAAAAAAAAAAAGACTTGAAATAAGTAGCTCATCGCAAGAGCACAGGAAATATACACAAAGTTATTTAATATGAAAATAGCGTGCAGCTGAAATTTTATTTGAGCTTCGGCTCGCCTGGCTGGCAGTTGGCCTTAAGCGATTTATTTTTGGGCTACATTATTCGCCCGAAGAAACATGGAAATTAAATGTTGTTTCATACAGATTTTGACGGACGGTGCTCATAGCGGGGTGAATTTTAATATAGCCTACAATTTCGGCTTAGAAAATCAGGTACATTTTGTAAGCTGCTCTTCAAAAACTCTTCCGTCTTTTATCAACTCTCTCACACTATCCATATCAAGGCCGTTGCATGATGAATTAAAATACATTGCAGTTCAATTTGATTGACCTTTATATAAGCAAATTTCTTATTCCGGCCGAGGTATATAGACTGCAAAATTCATTGAAAGCAGCCCATGCACATCCACTCACAGCCAATTTAAATCTTAATCAAATTAAAGTATCTACGCGCTTTTTAACGGCGCACATTCAGATTTTGTTGTTTGTGCGCTCGAGCATTTTTTAATAATTTAATCCACTGCAATTGAGCTGCACGGCGTGCTTGGGCCGATTTATTGAAAATAAAAAACAATATACACAAAAAAGAAAGAAATAAAACAGCCACTCACAAAATAAACACGCAGCGGCCTAAGAGTGCGGAAAATAAGAGAAGCAAATATTTTTGCACAAACATTGATTGGCAATTGCAGGGAAAATGGGCAACTGCAGGCGAAAGGACGTGGCCAGCTAAAGCGTGACACACCCACACACGCACACACATAGAAATATATACGTAAATGTGTACACATGCAATTATAAAGATCCGCCGCAGAGCCATTCATACACACACACACACACACACACACACATGACTCTTACGCTGCAAAGTTGCGATGAATAGCCGACGCACACTTCAAGTGTGTGTGGAAAACTGAAAATTCATTGAAAACTGATAGCGTGTGAAAAATAAACGAAATGCGCAATCTGAAAACAAAATATGAAGCACCAAATGATTGAGCTGTGATGTCAATAAAGTTGCGCTTTACAGCATTGGTAGCAATCACCAACATTTCGTTTAGTGTTGAACAACTTCCGAATTAACAAATGTCAGCAATATCGCTATCGATAACTATTATCGATAAACATTGCTTTGATTTATCATAATTATTAAAATTTTAATTTATGAAACTATTGTTAACTAAGCAAAAATTTAAATAGAATAATAAATAGATATGAGAATTATAACAAAATAATCACGTCAGCTTGGGTACTATAATTTCAGCACATTTAGCTGTCCATATTCAAGAAAATTTTTTTTCTTAATAGTACATTCTGAATATACAATACAATACAATACATATACAATACAATACATACAAAATATAAGATAAAAAATATAATATATAAGATATAAAATTTAACATAAGACATAAGAAATAAACTATAAAATGTAAAAATAAAATATAAGATATAACATGACATATAAAATATTAAAATATAAGAAATAAACTATAAAAGATATAAAATATTTGAAATATAAGGTAGGAAGTATAACACATAAAATAGAAAATATGAAAAATCAAATATACAAATAATTTGTAAGTAAATCTTTGATGTTAAAATTTTTTAAAATTTTATACATTTTTTTAAATATTTTTAAGATTATTTATTTGAAAATTTGTTGTGTAATTATTTAAAAAAATAGGCCATTCGAAATCATGTAAACCTAGACTAGCATGTACAATAAATAGATAATAATTATTGCACTTAATTTAAAATGCCTTTATGTTGATAATAAATGTTTTAGGCTTATTATAGTTTTCGGTTATTTTATATTTATATAAATTGTACAAATTAAAATTAATTATTGCCCAGTGTTTTATAGTTCATGCTACCCCACGCACAGCGCATCCAAATGAACTCTACATTGATTTATATGCCATCAGCTCTCAAATATATTTGAAATCCTTTAGAAAGAGTCAGTGGCATGCAATTTTCTAGTGGCAATTAGCAATGACACAAATGAAAACAAAAACCGATTCGATTTGTTAACATGCTGCGGCAGCTGAGCCGAGCATTAATTAAAATAAATTGGCATATACTTCAGCTGCGGTACGTTCGTCTCAGTGTGCCAGACTGCAATTGTAGAGCACATCGAAATACGAGAATACAAGTAACAAAAATGTCAGCAGGCAGCGCAAGCGAAGCGTCTTATAAAATGTATGAAATTAATTTTCATTATTTAATTAATAAGCAATTTAAATATAGAACAAATAAAACGCAAGAACTGGCATATTATGCACGACGAAGATTTAATACCCTAACTTCCAAGTGCTTTGATTCAGCAGCTTTATCTACGAACGAGTTGTCCTCTAGCAAATATATTCAACTAAATTTCGAGAATGGAAACACATATTTGCAATGTATAATGCCCGTTGTGAAAGCAGATTATTTAAATAAGCACATATTGAGATGGAATATACGACGGCAGTTAAATATACGTGAGAATCACATTGACAAATTTACCTGAAATTCAGAAATTGGCAAAAATTATGCAACGCTCATAGATAAATAAGCAAATGTTGGACACATTTATATTACGTATCTTTAGTTATTTCTACCATGGACCGCAATTTTGTGGAAAATAATAATTTAATTAGCTCCACATAAACACCCACACACATAAATGCACACACACACACACACACACACACATAGAAACCGGCCATAGCTTATGGCCCGGCAAAATTGTATGCATATCAAAAATACCAATTATGGCAACATTTTGTTGTCCTGCCTTTTACGGATCCGGACCGTGTGTGTGTATAATATGTGTGTGCGTGTGTGCGTGTGTGTAGGGGCTTGTGTCTGTGTGTGTTTGTGTGCTGGCATTTTCAATGGTGCTCGAGCATTAACGTTCAAAAGTCAATTAGTGGTTTTTATAAATGTGATTAAATTAAGTGACAATGTTGTTTACTGTTTTTACGGTTTGTGAATTTTTGTTCGTTTTAATTGGGATAACGGTGCCCGTAATTTGCCGTCGAGTTTTATATATTTGGAGGAGGGGAAATTTGATGATTTTGGCCAGATATTTATGGAAATCAGGCAATGGTCTAATGTAAGCTAACGATGCCAATAAAATGTGCCATTATCTCATTAGCTATGCAAAAAAAATAAGAGTTTGTCCTAGCTGACTAATTAATGTGGGCTAGAAAACTGACGCATCCTTTTGGTGGAAAAATGGGACGTGGCAAATTCTACCCCTAAAGGGAGGCGACGAGGATTAAAGTTTGCCTGCAAAATGTGGCTTACGTGTCTGAGCGTTGAGCTAACAAAAGAGAAGTCGCTAGTTCAACTCCAGCATATATTTGCAACAATAACACAGGCAATTTTGTTATCACTTGCATTTTCAACATTGAATTTTGTGTTATTTAAAGTAAATTATTGACACTTGGAATTTGTGGCTAGCCAAATATTTGGGTTATCTAGTCTTTTTTTGGAGAAGAATATTTGTTTCAAGGTGACTTTACTATAAATTTTGTTTTAATTACTTTTCAAGGTGTTTTTTGGTTTTCTATTTGCCTTTCAGCTTGGCAGCTAGTCTTCTCACCTGGTAAACCAAACTATTTCGTTTTATTTATTTTCCTTACATATTTTGAACATTTCATATTCGTTTTGCAGTTTG